TGAGGATATTCTAAGAATTTTATTTTAACGGCTGATAATTTATGCTTCAATTTGCATGCATTTTCTTTAGGAGGCACACAAAGAATCTATATTTCACAAAACTGAATAATGACATTTAGAGTCTGATACAGTTAAATTTGTAACTGAGACCTTTACAGTGATGCACAGGAAGTACTTTAGGTGACCCGGAGTCTAGCCTAAAATACAGTTTCAGCAGTGAAATATTAAGACAAGGATAAACTAACATGATTTTCTCAGATTAAAATCAATATCATAAACGTGACATAAGTATTTCTGAGACTTTCCCCATCCCCTGTTTGCTTCTTCTTCTTCCTTTAAGGTTCATATCTAATCTCAACTCTCTGGGCAACTGTCCTGTATCTACACTGCAGAAGCACTTACAGCATCCACAGAAGCATGATCAAAGTTCAAGTCAAGTGTCTGCCTTCTACAGACTGTATCAGGCTGCCGGGTACTGACCTCAGAGCAATGTCCGTCCAAACTGTCTCCATATGGTATAGAGCCCAGCATGTAAAGAATTTAGTAGGGGAATTGAAAATGAATGGCTATTTAAACACAGAAAACAGCTAATGGTTACAATAAGGACAATTTCCAAACTTGCAGAACTCTGTGTGTGTTTGTTAATATTGAACTAATTAGAAAATAATATATAATTTATGTCATGTACATTGTAGTTTTCAGTATCCTATAAACGCATGAATAAACCCTGAAACAGACATAGCCTATCTAAAGTTTTCCTAAATATAACTTGCCACTTTCCTAAATCATTGTTTTTTAAAACTGTTACTAATTCTGCAAACTACAAGTTTCCTTCAGGGATATTTCCCATTTTAATCAGTCTTAAGTATCATTAACACATGTGCTGACTATGGGGCTGTGATTTAAGGAAGATTTCTGTGCTATGCAGAAAGGTCTCATGGCAACAAAGCCTCATCTTATTGTCCTGTACATATCCCTTCAAACAGAGTAACAACTGAGAATTAATGTTAGATTCCTGTGCAACACTAGGCTCAAAAAGTTTAGAAAGAATTAAAAAGTATCACCCTAAAACAGTGTAAATTTAATGTAAAAAAATGCTTAAATATAAAAAATCCACTGACCACCTGGCCATTGCTAAATTTCTTCAAATAGTAACAATTACAAAAACCCAAAATTGAGAAGGCATTCACATTTCTGTAGTATAGGCTTTTTTTCCCCTCTCTTTTCTTGCTACTTTTTAAAATATTTTTTGATTATATAATTTAATTTAATTTTACATATCAGCCATGGATTCCCTTGTTCTCCCCGCCTCCTGTCCCTCCCCCACCTTCCCCCCCAGCCTACCCCCCATTCCCATCTCCTCCAGGGCAAAGACTCCCCTGGGGATTGAGTTCATCCTGGTAGATTCAGTCCAGGCAGGTCCAGTCCCCTCCTCCCAGGCTGAGTCAAGTGTCCCTGCATAAGCCCCAGGTTCCAAACAGCCAGCTCATGCACTGAGGACATCTCCTGGTCCCACTGCCTGGATGCCTCCCAAACAGATCAAGCTAATTAACTGTCTCACTTATCCAGAGGGCCTGATCCAGTTGGGGGCTCCTCAGTTATTGGTTCATAGTTCATGTGTTTCCATTCATTTGGCTATTTGTCCCTGTGCTTTTTCCAATCTTGGTCTCAACAATTCTCGCTCATACAAACCCTCCTCTTTCCCGCCAATTGGACTCCTGGAGCTCCACCTGGGGTCTGGTCATGGATCTCTGCATCTTGTTCCCTCAGTCGTTGGATGGGGTTTCTAGCACGACAATTAGGATGTTTGGCCATCCTATCACCAGAGTAGGTCAGTTTGGGCTTTCTCTCAACCATTGCCAGTAGTCTATTGTGGAGGTATCTTTGTGCATTTCTGTGGACCTCTCTAGCACTTTGCTTCTTCCTATTCTCATGGGGTCTTCATTTATCATGGTCTCTTGTTCCTTGTTCTCCCTCTCTGTTCTTGATCCAGCTGGGATCCCCCGCTCCCCTAAACTCTCTTTCCCTCGACCCTTGCCCTTCATTACCCCTCCTCACGTCCAGGTTGTTTCTATAATGGACCACATGTCCAGTTATTTATACGTACTTATTAACAATTGTTCCATTTTTTTATTTGCTCACTCAACCAATTCATCTAAATTTCCTCTCTATTCTCAGGGGTTTTATTATATTGACGCAGTCTGAGACTTTCTTCTATGGCACAGCTTGTGCTTGTAACATATCTGTTTTCATATTGAAGTGCTACTTTGAGCATAGAATTCTATGATGTAGAGATAAATTGTTTAATGGTATGTACAGAATTCCCAAATTTCAGCCACGAGAACTGTACAGACTACTCCATTGCACCATAGGTAACATGAAACACAAGCCAGATTCAGAATGAAGAGAGACACACTTGTGAGTTTAAGAATTATCTTCTCTAGTCCTTCTCTCAAAATACAATTTACTGGGGGTCCAGACTCATGACCATAACAGTTCTGTGTTCAAATAAAACCCGTTGTTCCTGAACTTGACTTAATGCTATGATTTTGTCACATGGATACCTCAACAGTTTTTGTTAAAACCTACATTTTTTTAGTCTTATTAGACAAATTACAACATCCATCTTGTTTTATCTTGTCCTGAGACTGAAACATCCAATCAAATAGTATGTCTATCTACTGAAGAACTTTCTGTCATGTCAGTAGAAAATTGTGAAAATGCGGTGGGGGGGCAATGATGCTTGTACTCCCAAGGTAGAATAATAAAAACAAACAACAACAACAACAACAACAAAACCCAGCCCAGTAGAGTGTCAGGTTCATAAATTAGATCATAGCTGTATTAAACAACTATCTGTTTTGTTCTGACTACGTGCCATGAACTTTTTCCTAATGCTGACCTACACTGAACAATGCTGACAAGTCTTCACAGACTTACCCCTTGGAAAGCATCAGATCTGTGTGTAGAAAGAAGGAGAAGGCATAGATTATGTTTCTAAAAATCTTAATACAGCATTTTATTTCTAGGGTTGTGGTCTTTAGAAACCAAACGAATAGTTAGGATAACTTACTACAACTATTCTAATGTCTGTTAGGCTCTTCTTGAACAAATTCTGTTCTTTGGCCAACTAGAATTTTCCTTTTAGGGCCTCTGGCGATTTCATGAATTAAGGTTGGAAATTTCTACTTTGTCATCCATGATACCTAGTTCCGAACAGTCAAATGTAATTACCATATTTAAATTAATATCAGAACACAGTCTAGTAATAATTTCACAATTCTCCTTTTATTTTTCTGTGATCTATTCTAAGTTGAACAGTCAGTGAGGCATGTTTCCCTAAAATGAATCTGCTAAATAAAAGCTGTGATTCCAGTGTGTGTGTGTGTGTGTGTGTGTGTGTGTGCGCGCGCGCGCGCGTGCGCGTGCGTTTTTGTTGATTAGTTCTCAAACAAGAAATAAGTGAACAAAATAGGAGAAGCAAACTAAGTAGGGTGATGTATATGGGTAGAAAATTCTGGAAAGTTACCCTTCAAAAATAAAGGCAAATGACCCTGGGATTTTTTTTAACGCTTACAAGGAACTCTTACATGGATGTCACTTGGTAAAATGTTGCCTATGATACTAATGTAGGTAGTCCATGGATAACTGCTGATTGAATAAATATGTATCATCAGTTCCATCAAAACCATAAATAAATCTGTCTGATCATGCTAGTTCAAATATTTAGAGATCAGATAGATATAAAGAAGCTTTGCCTAAGCTAGGGTAGGAGCCATATCCAAATACAATTACTTTTAATATTCCAACTTCCTTTCACATAGATTATGTATCAGATAAAACCTGAGTATATTTTAGAACAAAGAATCACAAAAAGCAAGAACATTTTTGTCAGCCTTTCATATAGACTGTAAGTAATAAAAATCAATCCAGCGTGAACTGCACTTGGGAACCAAGAGATGGCCCAAAGCTGCATGTGCATCAAATGTGTCTAAGGGTCAAAATGCTGCCTGACTGGAAGAGTCAAGCTGTCTGTAAGCACCTGCAACAGGGTGCTTTTCTCCCCTACCCAAGCTCTATGAGTTCAATGTATAGTTCTCACCCAGCACTGTGTGAGAATCTTCATTTCAAACAATCTGGTACCTGATGATTGGCAAAGCAACAGACTGGCAAAGTACACACAGGTCTTTCAAACATTCTGAGAGTTAACCTAGCACATTCTCTCAGAAAAGCACTGGCCTTTTCCTCTTCTAGAGGTACACTTTAGACAAGAGAAAAGGATAACACATTTTCATTTTTTAACTTTAAGAATTCCCCTCCAATATATGTTTTGTATTTATTTTCATTGTGAGGACACAGTACCATGGTATTCTCCCAGAAGTCACACCTGACAATTTTAAGAAAAGGTCTCTATTAGCAGAAAAAAACTTTGCTTATGTACTTTTTTTTAAATTTAAGTGCTCTTAAATTATCTGTCAGGGTTTATGTCTTAGATATGAACCATTTTGTTGAATTTTAAATTTAGAAACATGCTTCAGCCTTAGTCAGGGGTTCAACTTTATTAATGTGATTTTTTTTTTTTTTTTGGTTTTTCGAGACAGGGTTTCTCTGTAGCTTTGTGCCTTTCCTGGAACTCACTTGGTAGCCCAGGCTGGCCTCGAACTCACAGAGATCCAACTGGCTCTGCCTCGCAAGTGCTGGGATTAAAGGCGTGTGATTTTTAGTGCTACAAGCACTGTGGAGAATGTAAAAATGCTGGCACAATTTTACTTAAAGCTTAACTTTGTAACTGCTACTGATTTTGTTTACACAGTTTTTATAAAACCTCATGTAAATCTAAATAAAAGTAAAAGCAACAATGTCTCGATTCAAATACTTACTAGATATTTAGGGTTGTAAGATTTAGACTTAATTTCAAAAGCAATGAATGCTTAGCTTCAGTGACTTCATGAAAATCAAATCATTTTAAAGGCGTTTTGCACCATGAGTGAGCCTCTTACCTGTACTGCTGGAAATATTAACGTCAATACTGATATCAGATATTCCTCCTCCTTTCAGAGAGGCCACACATGTGTAAGTCCCAAAGTCCGTGAATTTTAAATCAATGATATCCAAGTTTGTTGTTCCAGGGGATACATCCGGGTCAGTCTGTGTAATAACCATCCTCTCAGAACTTCTTAATGGACGACCATTTTTAAACCAACTAAATGTTAACTCCTCAGAAGGAACAGCTTCTACTTGGCAAGATATTTTCACCTCACGCCCAATCTGGATGTTGTCATCTTTGTGATAAGGATCAGGAGTGATCCAAAATCGTCCTTTTTTTAATGCTAAAACATAAAAATTTCACAAGGAGTTAGTGTTACCTTCATATTTGTGGTGGTTCCGTCACTCTAGGTGATCATGTCTGGGCTGAAACAATAAAGCAAAGCAAAATAGAATGAGCATATGTTTTGTTGCTAATTTTTTGTCATGTACACTATAAATCTTAACAGTTACTCCAGAAAAAGAAAATCTGAACAAGAACCCGTTTAAAGATTCTCAACACTGGATTTTTATGCATTAGGCAATGCGTGACTGTAATAGAAAAAATAACACTTGAACTCTACTCACAGTTGTTGCTCTAGTTAGGTCTTGGTTGCTGTGGGTAAAACACTTACCAAAATCTATTCGGGGAAGGAATGGTTTTATTTCCACTTACACTTACAGTCTGCTAGTTATTGAGGAAAGTAGGAACTGAAGCAAAGACCATGGAAAACAGAATTGCTTACTGGCTTGCTCACTCCCTGTGGCTTGCTTGGCATCTCTCATTATGTCGTCCCAGCCCACTTGCCTGGGGATGACATTGCACAGTCGACTGGGCCCCCTACATCAAGTACCATTTAAGAAAGTGTCCCATAGTTATGCCCACAAGCCAATCCAATGTAGGAAACACTTCAACTCTACATCCCTCTTTCCAGGTAGGTCACATTGGCAACATTAGCTAACTATGACAATGGTATTTAACTATGCCATGCCATGAACATGCCTGGGGTGGAGGTTATGGATTCCTAGGGGCCTGAACTCAGCTTGAAAGTGTAGAAACAATAGGGAATAAATTATTCCTATTATGGCTGCTTTTCTTATGAACACTTTTCTGTTTTACACTATTGTCTCTACTTCCCTTCACCTCAACATTGGCCTCCATGCATATGAAATGTAACTTATACAGTGGAGCTGTATCAGAATAAAATATTGGACACCAACTTTTGACTTCAAAGCTACAACCACAGGGATAGTATCAGAAGTCAAGTGTCCGTACTGGACCTGCAGACATAAGAGGCTACAGAACAGCATTTGCTGGCATCTCTGAACCTAACACAAGTTCCCTCAGTTAGTCCTGGGGAGATCAAGGACTGTACATGCGCACAGAATGAATAAGAGATAACTAAGTTTTGAATCTGAAAACACATGTTATCTAAGTTTCCTTACTTGTTAGTCTTAAGAGTTTTGTCTGCTTTATGCATTGTGTCTCAGGAGAAGTAAAAAACCATGAAAAACAACAATTGCATGCCTCTTTGTATTCAAGACATTGTTGTAAGTTCCTTCTCCAAGACCAAGACACTCAGTTCAGCCCTAATTATTTGAGATGAACAACACAGAAATCACCTTTGGCAATGCATGAGGTCATCATTTCCAATAATTTGTAATTGCAATTTATTTATCAAGTTCTTATGATACATAAATCTAGGGAAACTAGGCAATGTACATCTGAAATATTTTACAAACTTCAGGAAATCTTAATCACAAAAAAGAACATCACTAATTAGTATTTTGAAAATGCAGTTTTGATGATAATGAAAACTCTGAAGACAAATAATTACAGCACATTTAATACTATTCTTTATTGAATTTTTCATAATAATAACATGCAATCTTTGAATCTTATTTTTGTGGAAACATATCTTTATAAGTAAGTTACTGTAGGGCAAAATGATGATACATTGAGTTATTCTACTATGTAGAGTGATGTGTTATGTTCTCAGAAGCACTGAAGCTAAATCCACTCTCCCCAGAAAGGAAAGGTCATTTAAAAAGTGGTCACATCTGGCTACTATATTTGCTATAAGATATTGTGTACATATAATTTAAATGTAATAATAGTTCTACTGCACAAAACAGTTTAGGAGGTCACAGAATAGTCCTTCTTTAAAAAATATTAAAAGTACCAACATTTTGTTTTTAGTATAATAACACATAAATCAGTTTAATTTCTAAACATATCCTTACCTCATTTCACAAGTAAATAGAAACTTAAATGGAATTATTATTCATTGCCATTATTGTGAAAAAATAAATTATATGTATCAGCTTAACAAATATAACTTCATACTAATATGAGAGTACATTTGGGTACTATTAAAAATAATTTTAATAAAGTGATTTGTTGATTGACATATATAAACAAATGTAACAAACACTTGGATGTTCATGTGATTGAGATCCATTAACACACAGTACTTTTGTGCAGTTCAGCATTTTGCACGGAAAACAATTAATGCATTATTGACACCAGAAGCACTTCACATTAATCAGCCAAATTGGATTGAAACTGCTAAAGTAAAAAAAAAAAAACCCTGATAAAACATGTGAAATCAATATTCACATTATATGTTACAGGCTGTTTTACTCACAGAAAAGTGATTTGTAAAATCCTAAGTAAAAAGACTAAAGATTAAATAGCTACAATCAATGATATTAAATGTCATACATAATTGCAGTATTTTATAACAATACAATCAAACATATTTTAATGAACTACAAAAACAATAGAATAAATTTAATGCCAAAGATATTTGATCTCAGTCTAAAATCATTCAATGAGTTAAGCCAATCATACTAGACTTCCAAAGGATACAAAAGTTAAAGAGAAAAAGAAGGACAAACAGGTCTCTTTACTCAACTACAGGTAAAGACTATCAGAATAAGGAGTCTGAGTCTCTCAGCTGGACAGCGATCTTTTTATGTTTGTTTATGTTTTTCCCTTTGTCTAAACAACTGATTATGGACACAGAAGAGAAATAGTCTAAACAAAATAAAATATAATTGTGTGTACAGGAGGTATGTTTATCTACACTAGCAGGGGAGTAAAATTTATTAGATTTTCTAACTCAATTTGTTCAGAAATCTAAAAGACTAGCTCTGTAAACTAGCATGTGTAAACAGCAGCTTGTGACTATCTTCTCATTTCTATGAGGTCCTCAATGGGTTATCTAATTTTTATGGTCAAGTTTGTCCTTCATAAAAATAGGAGGTGATAGTACTAGGCTCTCTCAGAGACACACTGTGAGAAATAACTCATTAGCAATTGTGTTTGAGCTTTGAAAATATAAAGTGTTTAATATAGTTAATAAGCTGTGAGGCAGGTCCCTTCATTTATAATTGAACACTCTCCTTTTCAGTGAACAATTTCTGATTAAACAATGCTAATTTAAAGTCATTTCTTGCCACCATTCAAGATTTCAACCTCTTCAAATCAATCAGAGATAAGTGCTGAAGTATAATAGGTGTCCAACAGACTTAAGAGACAGTAGAGCACTAAAGCATTCTTTAAAAAAGAGAGGAGAAATCCCTTTCTCCAGATGTAATTTATTAGCCCAATATTGAAAATCCCCTAACACCACCCTAAAAGAACATTATATTTAGCTTAATGTATCATTGAGTGTAATGGACAGACCTCAGAAGGTATTTATTTAGTCTGGCAGCGCTTGTAAAATTTTGGCGTGAATCTAACCTATGTTCTGAATAGCCAGTTTGGAAATGTAATACACACACAATAGATTACGTCTTTGTCTTAGGCTTGAGACAAGCACAAGCTTGAAAGAAGTCTAGATTGTGGATTCCACAGAAGGAGACCGTAGGATTGTATCTTGATCATAGATATAAATTTAATATTATAAAATACATTTCTTTTAGACTGAAGAAACGCAGCCTTCAATGGAATATATATGCCCCACCCTCTCCTCCCAGCCTCAGGAATCAATGTGCAAGGGGAAGCATAACGAGTGTATGATCCAGAGGCAGTAGATGAGTACAAAAAAGCCGTAGCTCTTGGAAACAGCAGGACAGCTGCACACACGATCCCACAGTGGTTATGACAGCATGCAAAAGATGTGTGCAAGCCCAAGCCACACCAAATTCCAGCATGAAGAGGGGAGCTGAGCACTAAGTCCTACCCCTACTTAGGAGTTATTGGAAGTTGTCAACTGTTGGCAAAGGTGGAGTCATTTTTTTATATGAGGTAGACCTTGATAAGTCTGCCACACTCTAATATAAGGTCACATATCCAAAAATATATGGGCATCACAAAGTGCTCTTGTAAAAGAAAAAGACACAAAGTTGAATGGGTAAGGAAGGAGTGAATCTGGAAAGAGTTTAGGGATGGTGAGTGTTTATGATCAAAACACATGTACCAAAGTCTAGAAGAACTAATAAAACATTAAAATGTCGATTTCATTTTGTTAAAATATAAGTTAGACAATAAGTAGCAGTATGACAATTGAAACAATTGATGGAGAAAACACAATAAACATAGCAACTGAGAAAGCATCTCTTTGGAAATGAGAAGTTTTTGTCAGCTTTTGAACTTCTGATAAGAATTTGTTTCCTGAAGACAATGAGACAGAGAGGACTCCAATTGCCAATCCAAATTGCTGAATTAGTAAAAACATGGACTACAGGAATAGTTCAGTGGTTCAGAGAACTGGCTGCTCTTCAAGAGGTCCAAGGTTTGATTCCCAGCATCCACATGGCAGCTCACAATCATCTCCAACATCAGTTCCAGGAGGGCTGCTGCCTCTTCTGGCCTCTGTGTGCATACATGCGGTGCACAGATATGCATGAAAGCAAAACACCCAATACATAAATATAAATAGTGAAAAGACCCTCCAGATACACCTCAGCTTCAGTTAGATAGAATTCTGGATGAAAAACTTTATAAACTGTTACTGAGAGAAATGGACACAGAAATCATTAACGGTACAATCAAATGAATAAGGCATTGATTTTTTCTTATTCTCTGCTAAAGAGAATTAAATATTTGTTTGAGAAATGAGGTGTTTTCCAGCCCCACCAGTTGCCAATTGAATACGCAGTTGGAAATAAGATTACATCAGCAATGATATGAAATAGAATTAACATTGGTATATTTTATCTCTTCCTTTATAATTAGGCACCCACTGCCTTAGGGGAATATGAGCAGCTTCAGAGCAATGCCACATCTCATTCTTCTGTATTGCTCCCAATACAAACATGATACCTTTTTATATATTATTTTATATATTTAGTCAAC